ATTCGGTCATGCTTGTTTTTCGTCAAATCATAAAGTTCCGCCTTCGACCATTTCCTTCTGTGTCGGTCACGACTCGTTTCTAGTATTCAATTGCTAGGTACGGATCGACCACATGTCTCGTATAGCATCCGCCTTCTTCCTCTTCCGTTGGCAAGGTGTACCGAGACCTCTTCAACTCCTCCGAACCGTTTCTCGGAACGAAGGCTGCCATTCATCCGCAAAAATTACAGCTTGTTTATGCTCCGACACATTATAAATGCTCTTGGGCGGCATCAGTACTTTTTAGGGAGCTGTGCGGTCGGCAAATCGTGCTTCGGGTATTGGTTTCGTGCTTGTCTGTAGGTTGACAGGTATGCAGCGGCCGCTTCTGAGTAACAGGATGCGGTACTTGATGTGCCTCGCTAAATTTTTCGCAGCGGGTTGATTTTAACTATGCTCTTAGCACATTCATTCTCTCCATCAGGAGTCGAAACGACGCAGTCCGAGCCCTCCATGTAACAGGCACAGCATCAGATCCGAGAACTGCCCAGCCTTCAGTTGATGAAGCTCCCGTTGAGAGTATTGGCGACACACCCTCCGTAGCAAGCATTCGTTCATTCTATGCGATCAGCCGGCGGATTCGCAAGAAACTTCTTGCTATGGTGGCTGCTCCGAGACCATTTCAATCTCCATGTTTTTGCTCATCTCCTAAACAAAAACTGGCTTAAAGCCCGATCCCACCCCTCAATCCTAACCGGATTATCAATATGCCAAAAAGGGTTCTTGCAAACATGGTCCGCAAACCGTTCATAAATCCCCTTGATCAGCCCCTCCGTATTCGGCATGCTCGGATCCGTAAACAGTAGAAACTTTGTCCCAGTCAGCGATTGAAACACCGTAAGCCTGAAGAACGAGGACTCCATGCTCTCTATCCCCGTGACTGGCGCATCGGGAACCGGGTAGCGAAATTTGGAGGCTTTTCCGCCCGTTCCATTCATGGTTGAGGCAGAAGGATCGTCAGTGGAAGAGGCAGCATTGGCCGCAAACTTCGGTGTAACATTTTTCGTGATTGCGTGGACGCCGTGGAATGTACCTGCGAGGACTAGGTAGTCGTTTGTGGTTAGAGTTGTTGTACCGGGGAGGCCGAGGGTTCCTGTTGCTGGTTGTGAGCCACTTGGATTCGAAGTTGGGAATGTCTTATGGTATATCAGCGAGCCGGCTTTGGAGATTATGAGGAGCGCAAAGACGGGCATTGTGGTGGTTATGGGTGTCGTTGGGAGATGCTGTGGGAGGGGCCACAGGACATCTCTGGTGTTCACCTGTTGCGCATGGCTCGCTTAGGACTTGTAAAGACTGGCACACGCCTATCAGGATCCCGCACAGATTGCTATATTCCCGAGTACAGTGAGTGCGACTTCTTGCTCACGCAACTGGAACGCGACTGCTGTTTGTATGGTCGCTTGCCAGTGAATCAGGAAGGTGCGGCGCGGTTACGGCGGACGCTACAGCCTTGTCCGTGCCAAGGCTAAAGTCCGCAGTTGCGTAGCCGTTGACGTGCCTGCCATTCCGCCTCATACTGTACTGAGCAGCACTACTACCACAACCAGCTATATCCAGTTCGGTACACCTTCAAGATACCCCTGCTAATTCACCGAACCTCCATCATATCTCCCAATCTGCCACAGTCGAGGATCAAGCTCGCAAGCCGCGATCATGCCTCTCGAAGCAACGATGATATGCGTCGACAACAGTGAAGCCTCTCGCAACGGCGACTACCTGTACGGCTCCAAAGATTTTGTCTTTGGGGATCTCTACTAACGATGACTTACAGTCCCACACGGTTCCAAGCACAATCTGAAGCAGTCTCACTCATCTTCAATGCCAAAACACAAGCCAATCCTGAATCCGCCGTCGGTCTTCTATCCATGGCAGGCACGTCTCCTCAAGTCCTCAACACACCCACTACGAACTTCGGCGCCGTTCTAGCAGGTCTGCACGAAACCAAGATCAAGGGCTCCATCAGACTAGGCACAGCAATCAGCGTGGCAATGCTGGCACTCAAACACAGAGCAAATAAATCTCAGAGACAGAGGGTGATTGTACTAACATGCAGCGAGATCGACTCAAAAGATGGCAACGACAGTGAAAAAGAGCTCATCAAGCTAGCCAAGAAGTGCAAGAAGAACAATGTGTCTGTCGACTTCGTGGCGTTTGGAGATGCTACAGGATCAGAAACAAGAGATGTGCTGGAGAAGTTTGTCGAGGCAGTAGGCGGTAGTGGAAGCAATGAGGGCAACTATTTGGCTGTGATACCGCCTGGTCCGGGTTTACTCTCCGATTCGCTAGTCACAACGCCCATCGTCAACAGCGGTGCGCCACAGGAAGGCGGAATGGAAGGAGTAGAGAGCACAGGTGGAGCAGGTCAGAACAACTTCGAGTTTGGTATCGATCCTGCCACGGACCCAGAATTGGCCATGGCGCTGAGGATGAGTATGGAAGAGGAGCAGAACAGATTAGAGCGAGAGAGACGACAGCGGGAAGAGTCAGGACAGAATGGTGAGAGGATGGAGACTATAACAGAAGAAGGTGGCTCGAGTGCGAACGACTCAAAACAGCCGAGGGTGGAGGATGATAAGTCAGATGGCAAATCGTGAGCAGGAACGACCGGGCGAGTATTCCGTCATAACCGGAAGCATAGCGTTGGCGTTATGAATGGCGTAGGGAAAGCCCAAAGGTCAGGAATGCGTTGTTACACTCCTAAAGCAGCTGCTACCCTTTTACGGTGTAATCTCAGGGCTGGCTATTCGAAAAATTAGGAGCGGCGTCAATCAAACCGACAATTGCTTCCAGAATAGCGATGTACTCGGATCATCTTTGCGGAGGGCTTGACTCGTGTTTTGTGTCCAGCCTATCGCACCTTCCATTCGGATGCGCATTCCCTACACTCAGGTCTGCACATCGAAAAAGATCCCGTGATTGCCCCATCGTTAGATTCGAGTCTCGGAAGTTCTTCGAAGAAGTGCGTCTGGGCTGCCACTAAGCCACCCTACAGCATATTCGGAACGGGCATTCGATTCGGGCAGAAGAGGTGGAAAATCCACAAAGCTTACCGAAGAGGGTACAACAATTATGCATGTGTGGGATTGGTTGGGCCTCTGGTTGAGACGAGGTCGATTCTGGTCTTCTTGCCAAGTTCTTGAGGGCTTCTGTTCTGCCAGTGGGTTTGCGAAGCACGCCAATATTGACAGTCTTATTGGCCCATCGAGCAGGATACAATGCGTCCAAGACGCATCTTTGCTAACCCCCTCATGTATTAAGGCTTCCGGTCTGTCAGGGATTTGGATGATGACAATGTGTAGGACGAAACCACTTCAACCTCTCTGCCTGGTCAGGATAGATGTCTCTCAATTAGAAGCCATACCCGTCATCCGCTTGTTTATGTGCCAACCGAAGTTGTGAATGAGCTCTATTCAACGCGGAAGCTCAAGTGGGATTGTTTCAAAGAGTCAGCAAATTCTCAGTACAGCTTCACATCTGTCAATACGTTTTAATCTTACACCAAGTATAGCTTTGAGTTCCAATCCGACTGTCTTCTCACTTCGAAACCTGCTTCAATGCTGCAATAGATTTTCTACATGTCGGGCAGTTCGACCGCTTCAACCGTGGCAAACACCGACGGCAACGAGGTGAGTTCTCCTAGGTTCCTTCGAGCTTCGAGATAAACCCCTCGTCATGTGCTAATCCAATATGCAACAGCAGGGCTCATTCTTAACGCAGGCACAAATCGCCTTTAAGCTGCCATGCGCAACTCAGATACAATCCCACCTCCCGCAGGCTCCTGGCCGAGATTCGATTGAAGATCTTACCGAATCTCCTCAAGAGTGACGAGCCGCTCGACAACAGAGACCACCATTGTGTCCAACAGCTTACTATCACGGAGCTTCCTAAATCTGAGTACGCATGCCCTACGTTTGCGCCAACAGCTCTACCACGAATGCCTTACGGTCCTGTATGAGGAGAACACACTCTGGTCATCCGCTGGAACAGTATACGCTGCAGGATTCTGGGCATTATCACCGCCACAGAAGCACCCTCTTTGTGGAAGCTTTGTTGCAATTCGCCCATGGACCTACTAGGATACGCCAGATTGAAGCTGGATAACGCACAAGGTCGCGACTGCGTAGTGATGGACGTCAGTATCGATGTCACGATCAATCACGCAGCAGGCTGTCGTGATGGAACGGTGAGATGGCGGGAGACCCGGGCGATGAGTGATTGAAAGGCGCTGACACGCAACTCCTGCTCCTATGAGCAAGCTCTGAGCCTCGTCTCTAAGCATGAGTTGAGATGAACAATACTCGTAAGCTGCTGGCTAGGTTGTACAAGGCAGAGTGCTTATGGATCCGGACTTCTCGACTGAGATCGACGGTTCACTCCATTCTACTTTGACAACCATGCCCGCTCTTCTTCGGAGTCCTCGTCTGCCGCTAGAAGTTGTGTCGGAGCATGAAGAACCACTTTCAGGTGCTATAGGCAAGGACGACGGGCAAGCATCCTTTGTGCAGCATAGCCGTTGCAGAAGGTGGCGTTTGTCGCAATCTACGCTGAGACGTGACAAAGTACTACTAGTATAATACATGCGTATTCTACTAGTACAGGTCTTCCTTCTGCAGGAAGTTACTGGCCAAGCAACAGGCAAACCTACTGTATAAGAACCCTACCACTAGTCAGATCCTTGGCACCAGCCTTGAAAGACCAAGAAAGACTTCCGTTCCAATCCAATCCAAGCAATATCCTCTCTTCCGTGCAACGTCCACAGCTCAGCATAGCGTAAGACAATAATCATCACATTGCAGAGACCAAGATCACCAGCACAGCGCGTCCTCGTTTCGATACTAATGGAGTTAGTCTTGTGCCCCACCGCACGCAAAGAAAAAGTTCGTTCATAATCCAAATTTGCAGTCAGCCCGGCTTTCATCGCAGAAATGACCACTGCTCCAATCATATAACAAAAAAATGAATCTCTCCAACCGGAATCGAGCCGGTGACCTTCTGATGGACAAGTTGCTTGTTAGCACAATTACAGTCAGACGCCATAAACCAACTAGACTATGGAGAGTCATTGACAGCACATTTGAAATGTGGTCAACACATCGATCATTAATTTGGCCTTACCAATAACATACCTAGCTTCTCCTCCCTTGGCCTGTGATGATTACCTGGTAAAAGGTCTGAAAGTGAGCGAGACCCTCTCCTGGGTCTGTGCACACGTTGATGGACAAAAACATGAACCAGTCTGAGGCCAATGTCGTGTTCTCTCGCAACCTGGGATTTGCCATAACCCATTCAGTTGCGCACACCTCTGGCCTGAAGAGCACTAGATGTGCAACGTCGCTCCCTCGTGCTGCCACAAATTGATCTATGGCCGCGGGCAGCTCCACGCTGCTGTCACCCTCCCAAGATACACATGGCCGCACCAGCATCACAACCTGCTTCTCAACCCCTCACTCAACTCCTTGATTCCCTCTCTTACCTCGTTCACCACATCAGCGGCTGCCTTGGTCTCATTCACCAACCCAACCGCGCTCCCAGCCCAGACAACAGCCCTGTCGCTCTCGACTCCATAACCTCCATCCACTTTTCCCACAGCCTCCCGATGCCCATCTCTAATAGTTTCAATCGGCACACCCTCTTCATGCCTTTCACGCCAACTGCGGCTAACAAGTGCCCTGCCATCATATTCTACGGGCCATATATTCGGTCCTCTCAACTCATCAAACACCTTCGCTCGCACTGTGTTCAGTGTTCCATCCCGCGCGGCAAGGACTCGCTTTGTGTACTCCGGATGCGGCACTATCGCTTCTGGCGACGCAAGGAACCGTGTTCCCATCACCACACCTTCTGCACCTAACGCTAATGCCGCGAAGGCGCCTCGAGCATCGACGATTCCACCACTTGCCAGTATATGTGGCATTGTGAAATCCTGGCGAGATTTCGATGCTTCCACTAGCATGTCTTTGATCTCCGGAAGCAGCCCAAACAGACTAGCACCTCTCTCCATGCCATGGCCGCCTGCATCACTACCTTGCACGACTAGCGCGTCTGGTGCGGCCTTCGACAGTACGAGATCAACGGCTGCAGTTGCGCTCCCACCAACCTGGATCCAGATCTTCGGGACGTACCCGCCCACACTGGAGTAGAGGTCGCGGATCGCCATGGCCCAGGTCGTGTACGCCTCGATACTCGGTTCTGATGCAGCGAAAAGCCAGATCAGAGCTGGTGGTTTCTTGGATGAATTAGAGCGCCGCTTGAGGGCCTCGATGACCTGCTTCAGATCTGCGAGGAAGAGGAGAAATCCAATGCCCACGGGCAGGTAGGGTAGATCAGCGCTTGTTTTGGTTTTCTGGTCCTGTTGTGGTTGTAGTGCTAGCGGCTCCGAAGAGAAGGAGTCATCGACTTCTGTCAGCCAGGTGTCGAGGGTTGATGTTGATGGGACCAAGCCCATAAGGCCAAGACCACCAGCACGGGTGACTGCGATGGCGAGTGATGGACCCGCTGTGCCGCCCATGGGGGCATTGGCGATTACTGGGGAATAAGTCCACGGTAAATCGTCGTGAAGCATCTGCATGATGAATGACTGTGAATGGGGGTTCTCCAGAAAGCTGGCGTGATGCACTGATAGCGGAAACTGTTGCTCATGAGGTGCTGTTCATTGTGCGGACATCTGTTTACATTTATTTTGGCTCGTGGACGCTTTCCTCGCATGCCATGGCTCGCCTAAGGCTCAAGCTGAAAGGGCCTTATAGAAATGATGTCACCTTCTCTGTCGCGGAGCAGAATGTGCCTCGGTGGTTGAACGTCTAGCTCGGGAGCAGTCATGTTGTTAGGTACACCACAGACAAAACCAAAAGCTCCTCGAAGGACAGACCTCGTAGTAGCTTCAGGATTTGGAATCTGGCGCTGCGTACTGCTGCATTCGGCGTAGTATGGCGTGGTTTGATGAGCTTATGTGGCTGCAATAAAGCTTGGGTCGTATTCGGTAGAGCTATGTCAAGACCGTAGCCACACACAGCCAGCTGAAGAGCCCGACGGAGACGACAGTCAAGAGGAAAGTACCAAACTGGTTAATGGAGGGAGAAATTTAGTGCAAACACTTTCCTGCTCATACCCCCATCTCAACCAATCGAAAGCATGATGTGCGGCGTGCTCCACATCCGCCAAGGAGACCAAAAAAGCACCATCCTCGTCCCTGGACAAGCCAACACAAGTCTTTGCACCTGTTTCACCCCAACGTCCATTTCGTGCCATGCCGCCAGCCATGCAGGAGCCCGAGGGCATCAACAAGCTCCCAGATGAATTGTTATTCCAGATCATCTCTTTTGTACCGTACGTGCCTAACGCGAACGCTGACCAGTGTCCACATTTGGCCATCAAGCTACTAAGCCGGCGATTCAACCGTATCGCATCCTCCCCTTCACTTCGCCGTGACATTGTGCGATTTCAGTTTACAGAGCTTGCTTTGCTGAACAACGCAGCAGATTGGAACGTGTCAGACGAGGACTTGGAGTACTACGCACAGCGAGACCAAGATGTTCAGTCAGCAATCGACAAGGTTTTGAAACCGAGTGACACCCCGAAGGCTAGGCGAGCGATCACGCTTGGGCTTCATGTGCTGTGTTGCATGTCGACTTTCGTTGATGGAGAACGGTTCGAGCTGAATATGTATCTGATGTCCTGGTGTATCCGGAGCATTCTGTCCCAGGAATGGTTCAGCATCCTCCGCTACACAATTCAGCGGATCTACGATCACATGCTTCCAACTGAAGATGATTTTGCGGCATCGTGCGATCAGGGCGATTACTGGGAATCGGAGACAACAGGGCATACGAGAGCTTTCGCGCAATTGTTCAAACGCCGAGGGTTTGAGACTGCCGTTTTGACGAATCTGCATTGGGGCCCTCTTCTGCATTGCATCAGTCAGGGGAGAGTCCGCCCTTACATGGACATTGGGCTCATGTACTTTTTCCTCCGGGAGGCGCTGGGTTACATGACGCCAGATGGGCAACAGATCAATGGCTATGGAGCGCCTGAAGAGACGCTTGAGGCAACCTTGAACTTCGTTAAGGGGAGAAGGTGGCGGTTATTATCTCCTTGGGAAGACGATCCTGGTGTTCAAGTCGAACCGGGAGTCCAACCAGAAATCTGGAAAGCGTTCCAGATAGAGCTCGATTCTGATGTAAAGCTGCGAAAGGACTTCGAAGATCCATCAGGTTCACAAGACCTCAATGCCAAGGCCACAGACTTGAAAGAGATTGGGTCGAAGCTGACAGCTGCATGTGACCACATAATAGGCCGCAGTGTCCCAAGAAGGTTGAGGGATTTCATCGTTGAGAAACAGGTGACAGACGTGTCGTTACTGGAAACTTGGTATGATTCTGACGACATGCTTGACGATATGGACCTGGTCAACGGTATGGTCCCAAACATCTGGGACATTCTGGGTGATGATGAAGATGACGACGGCGATTTTGACGACATGGAGGAGGAGAACTCGGAGGACATGTATGACGATAGTTCGGACGATATGAGTGAAGGGTAGAAGGTCGCGGGATCGTTGGACGTTGTCGCTTATACGTTTTGTTCAGGCTCATCTGGTTGTCCTCGAACAACGGCCACATAAATTAGTAATCATTCTGTATCAGTAACCGAATACTGTGGACACACTCTACCCAAACAGATTCAACGCATTGGGTCTGGACCGACCGGAAAGCCATATGAATCGCATCAGTTCGTGATATTAGCCCCGCTCCAGCTTCATTTCCTCCCACAACCTCATCTCTGCCCTCTTCTCGTCCCACCTGTACACCGGACCAGTTCCTACATTATACTGATAATAATTCTCTGTACCACCAGGCACCATCGCCTTCCTCATGGTGATATTGATTCGTCCCTTATCCGCCTCGTTGTTCTTCCCGCTTCTCTTCGGAATAGAGTGCAGCCAATTCCGTTGTGTCTCACCACGCATCAGAATCATATCTCCCGAACCAAGCGGCAGCTTAATCTGCGTTGTGCCGGGATAGACCTTCTCGGCACTGCCCGCTTCGGTCTTTGACTGACCCTTGTTACCATTGCCTGGTCCAGATCCGGGAGGTTTATGTTTCAGCAGAAAGTCACGTCTCGCGCCGAGACTGAATGAGGCGATTGATGGGTTGTTGCCGAGGAATCGCTCGTCGTCGCTGTGGTAGCTGATTGAGTCTTGACCGGTACTGTAGTAGTTCACTAATACGAAGTTGTAGGTGTCGCTGGTCAATGCTTCAGTCAGGTTCTTGAGCATGGCTAAGCAAGGAGGTATGGGTCGAGGCGGACAGGCACATGACTTGTACTTGCCTGGAGCAACGTCCTTTGCTGGATTCGAGGTTTCGGCAATGCGTGTGGTCAGCTGGTTGACATTGGGATTATTTTCTGTTGTCGTGCTCGTGCTCACGAACTGTGAGGTTTCATCTAGGCCGTAGACAGTGGTGAAGCGAGGCGTGTTGATGTCAACGGATTTGCCGTAGCGCGTGATGGTATACTTGACACGATAGAAGGGGAGTGAAGAACGTAGAAATCGGAACAGCTGGTACGCCGTAGGCTGGGGTATAAGTGGCTCAAAATAGAGGAGATCGAGATGAGGCTGGCTGTTGATGGCGTTTCCTGAAGCTATCAAGAGCAGCTCCTCGATCTTCTCCGAGATGCTTGATGGCAGATCTGCTATTGGGAATGGATACGTCTGATGGGACGTGGACTTTGCCGGTACATCACTGGGCGTATCTTCGGCCTCAACAATAATCCTCTCGGAAAATGGTTCCTTGTCGACTGGCGGGGGAGATACTCTCCTTGACAAGGTCTCAAGGCTAGCTTTTGGTCTTTTCGCTGGAGGTGAGAAAAACGAGTGTATCGTACGCTTCGACATCTGGTGGAAAGAAGCCAATGATGAATATATCTGCAAAAGCTACGTTCGATTCTGTATGTAAACTCTGTAGCACCATCGAAGACAATAATGTCTGATGAACGCGACGACGTCATCATTCCATACGCGTCGAGGTCAACGGCGCGACGCGTCAGGAAACGTCGCTCTTA